TTAAATGACCATCACCTGATGAATGGATAAACAAAATGTGATCTATTCACACAATGGAATATTGCTCAGTCATAAAAAGAAATGATACATGCTACAACATGAAGATGAAGCTCAAAAAAATAATTTTAAGAAGCCAAAAACAAAAGGCCACCTACATTGCATGACTGCATTTAAATGAAATGTCCAGAACTGGTGAATACACAGAGACATAAAGTAGATTAGTAGTTGCTGGAGGTGGGGTTCGGGGGATCAGGAGAGAATTGAGCAACTGCTAATGGGTGTGGAGATGAGGTTTACTCGGGGGTGTTGAAAATGTTCTGGAATTAGTGGTGATAGTTGCATAATTTTGTGACTACATGAAAAAACAATTGTACGTTTTAGAAGGGTAAATTCAAGAGGAAAAGTACAGCAGATGGAATGCAGTAAATACTGTGATAATGTTGTAAGACAACAGATAGTGACAACATTTATCATGGTGAGCATTTCATAACCTTTAGAATTGTTTAATCACTGTTACACACCTAAAACTAATATAACATTGTATGTGAACTACATTAATATTTTTAAAATGGTGAACTTAATGGTATGTAAATTAAATCTCAATAGAAAAATTTTAAATAAGCAGAAGATTTGAACAGACACTTCACCAATGGAACTATACAAACAATAAAGAACATGAAAAGATGCTCAACATCTTTAATCACTAAGGGTATGCAAATGAAAACTACAATACTTTAGAACTATATACCTATTAGAATAAAAAAAAGTTTTTTAAATGGCAATACTAAATGCTACTAAAGGTGTAGAGCAACTATGCACTCATACAATGCTGCTAAAATTGCAAAATGGTAAAGCCGCTTTGAAAGGAGCTCCACAGTTTCACAGAAATCAAATGGTCATTTAGCGTAAGACCTTGCAATCCCACACTTAGGTATTAACCCAAGGGAAATAAAAATTTATGTTCACACAAAAACCTGTACATGAATGTTTATTAACAGCTCTATTCATAACAGCCAGAAAGGGAAACCATCAGACATTTACAACACATCCACACAAAATATATCAAAAATATAGGAATAAAAAAAATATATATATAGGAATGAAACACATGCATATAACACATGGGTGACTCTCAAATTCATTTTACATAAGTGAAAGAAGTGAAATTAAGTAAAAGCAGTCAGACCCCCAAAAGCTATCCACCATATAATTCCATTTATATGGCACTCTAGTAAAGACAAAACACTCGAAGGATGGAAACAGATCAGTGGTTGCCAGGAGATATGAGGGCTGGAAAGGGTGGACTGAAAAGGGGCAGCAGAGGGAATTTTGGCACCCTAATGGAACTTTTTGTTATCATGATTGTGATAGTGGATACATTCCTTGACATTGCACTTGTCAAGAAAGAACCGTACATCACAAGAGTGAATTTTACTGTATACAAATTTTAAATTCACCCATAAATCACACTCTACACAAACCTCCGCCTTGAATGCAGAAGCAACCCTCCACTACAGATCAAAGCACACTACAAAATGTTTTCAAGGCTTCCTTCTGTGGTGTGTGAAGACAAATTGTATTATTTTTACTCTGCAAATGAGAAGCAGAATAAAACAATCTTCAAGTTTCTGATAACAGGTCAGAGATGCAGAGCTAGCCCCCCATGTCCCTAGTTCTTGCAGTCTGACTCTATCATGGTACTAGATACCAAAAGCAGTTAACAAGAGGTTATCTCTATCAAACTAATTATCTACTCACACTCTCACAAAGGAGAAAAATCAAGATAAATGAATATCTTAGAAGAGGGCTGAAAGTGTGTGCATATTAACAGTTAAGTCCAAAAAAAAAAAAATTAACCCTAACTTTGGCCTAGGAGCTTCACTTCGTACGCAAAAGGAATCCAATTTACAACGGGTGCTCAAAATAAAGAAGGGCAGAATACAGCTGGAAGCACTAATAATGACGCTCCAAATAAGGTAGCGCACCAGAGTACAGGGATACAAAGTTTCGGTCCTTCATCTAAGCAACCTAAGGGCACGTTCATCCCCGTCTTTTATAGGTCTGAGACGTTGCACAGCGCACCTAGTTTCTTAAAAAAAAAAAAATTCACTCTGACCCACAAAATCCCAAAGCCTTACAAACGTGACACGCTCCTGGGTCAGGCTGTGAACGGAAAATAGCCAGCTAAACATGAGTTGATTGTGCACATGAGTTTCGCTTTCTGTTATCAGAAGCCAGGACAGCAACCCGAATCCAGCCCGGGTGGCCAGAAAGGGGTGCCGAGCAGACACCATGGTTTAGCGACACTCCCGGGCTGGGGAAGGAGGGAAGGGAGAGGGCGTCTTCGGTCGCCGGCGCCCTGCCTTCACGTGCGAGGCAACGTGCGCCACTCCGTGGGCTCTCCCGAGCCTTAGTCATAACCCCAGGGGATACAGCATGACAGGGATAGGACCAAGCCCGGGGGCGTCTCATGGCCTCCCCTACGCCCCGCACACCTGAGCCGGGCAGCGCGGGGCGACGGGCAAAGAAGGTCGCCTGGGCGCGATCTGCCCCCCCGCAACGCCCTCGGAGTCCGCCGCGGGTCCCCTCAGCCGCCCGGCTCGGAAAAGGGGCACTATTTATCCCGCACCCCCGACCCCAACCCCAAACCCCTCCCGCCAGAATACAAACAACTTGAGGGCAGAGGCCCCGGAACTGCCGCCTGGCTTTACGTAATTTAACCCCGAGGCAGGCGGCCGCAAGTGGTGGCGCCGGGCGAGCGAGGGGCCCGAGGCCCCGAGAAAGCAAAGCCGGGCTCCGGCAACCAGGGGCCGGGAGGAAAACGAGATTGAGGGGCGGCGGCGGTCTCGTTACCTCCCCAGATGCCCAGGGTGAGCTGGGACGTGTCCAGGTTCACCACATAGTCCCCCAAGAACCGGTTCAACACGTCCACGACCACCGACTCGAACACCATTTTCCTCAGCAGCGGTGGACACGGCAGCCGCCCCCCGCGGTCCTTCCTCCAGCGCCTGACGTCCCGCGCCCTCCCTCGACAGCGCTCGGTTCACCGGCTCCCGGGCAGCTCCGACTATATCTGCCCGGACGCCGGACACGCAGCCCCGCCGCGAGCCCTCCGAGGGGCGGAGGCGGCCGATCCCTCCGCGCGTGCGCAGGGCGGACTCCAGGGCGGGGGCGAAGCACGGCGCCGACCCGGGCGCGCCTGCGGGAGAGGAGCAAGGGCGGCTGCGCGGCTGCTTCTCTGACGCCTGCCCCTTCCGTGTAGAACCCGCCTCCTTTTACTCGTTGGCCCCGCCTCCTCCACGTCACCAGGCAACGGGAGGAGCGTACGGAGGGCCAGTTTTTTCCCGGACCCCGCCCTCACCGGACGCTTGGTGTCCTGAGCGGCGGCGGGGGCGGGGATGGGGGCGGGGCCGGGCGCGTCGGTTACACCTGCCTGGGAACGCCCGTCGCCCTACAGTGGAGGCGACCCCGCACGCGGACCAGTAGGACCTGCACCTGAGCCAGGCGTGGGCATATTCCAGTCCTTTCGCGGTCAGGCCGCAGGCGTCTCAAGGGAGGGTTCTAGGGAGCCCCCCCACATTATTACAGGTTCCTGCATCCGGCCGCCTGTGTGGGGACGCCTGTAACTGCCCCGCCCGGTGCTCGGAGCGCGAGGCCAGGATGCGCGGCGGGTGACTTACCCAGATGCAAATCGTGCCAGGAAGGTGGGGAGAGGGCAGTGAAGAGTAAACTCGGCGTTGGAATGCCACGCCCCCCTTCCCTGCATCTGATACGGCGCTCTTTTTTTGGTCGTTATTCACAGGGAGCCTCCTTTCATCCCATAGAAAGCCCCTTCAGATTCAGAGTTAGAGAGTCAGCCAGTCCAGAAACTGCTGAGCGCCCTTCAAGAAATATTGTGATACCTACACTCAACCCTTGAGGCTTATGAAATGACTGACCTAACTAAACTAAATAATAATTAAAGCTCTTTCAGCCCCTTCCCACCCCCATTTGGTCTTATATAAGAAATGGGACCAAATGCCTGAGCTCACAGAGATGCTGGATATGAAGTATGGAGAACTATAATTAATCACCACCCTCTTAAGGATTTAAGATGTAGGAATGTACTTTGAACTTTTTCTCTGTGCATCCTGAACATTAAAGGGATACCTCAAGGGGACTGGCAAGGCTAGAAGGGGAAGCTAGGGAGCCTTAGCACTCAATATCAATCACAGTAAGAATCGTCAATTATAGACCCTTAACAGAAGAATCTCAAGGGGAAAGAATCATCAATTACAGGCCCCAACAGGGAAAGAGGTACATTGCATCTCCTATAAGAAATCAATTACCCCTGAAACTCAGGTGATGAGAAACTTTCATCTTGCTTCTCTCCAAATGACTTTTGTTCAAAACAACCCCTCCTGGGGAGCCTGGGTGGCTCAGTCAGTTAAGGATCTGCTGTCTGCTCAGGTCATGATCTCAGGGTCCTGGGATCAAGCACTGGGTCGGGGGGGGGTCCCTGCTCAGCAGGGAGTCTGCTTGTCCCTCTGCCCCTCCCTGTCCCCCCACTGCGTGCTCTTTCTCTCTCTCTCAAATAAACAGATAAAATCTTAAAAAAAAAAAACCCTCCCAAGTTTCTCCTCCATAAAATAATGCATCTCGCTTTTGTTTGTTAGACTTGCCTAAGGTTTTGAGGTAGCTTGCTTGTCCTACATTGTAATTCTCTGCTGTTCCCAAATAAACTCATCTTTTGCTGGTAAAATAACTGGCAATTTTATTTTTAAGGTTAACAGTGTCACCAATAAATAATGCCTCCGATGACTTTCTGCTAATTCCTGTATCATTTAGTACTTTTCGTATGTAGTGACCCAATTTTTTTTTAAGGCTTAAGGTTTGCCTTTGCAAATAAGAATGCCTGGCAAAAAAGCAGTGTAAAATCTTGTTTTACATGAGTTCATAAATTATTTTCATACAATTTCATATTTGAAGGGTCTTTATTTTGTCACCAATTCAATCTCTTGATCTTGACAAGCATGAAGCAGAGATGTTAGGGATCAATCCAAGGTGACATAACTAATGTTCTGCAGAAACAGAGCTGGAACCTGGTTCTTCTTACTGACTCTGCTCTACCACCCCCCAACTAACATAGAAACCCATACATAGAAACTGATAGAGGCTGAAATGCCCAGAAAAGGGAAAAGCCCATAATGAGGTATTTTGCTACTGTAGTATTGTTTAGAAGAAGCCAGATAGACAGAAGCTACAAATTCCACTATTAAATCTAGCACCATAAATTTAAAGTGCAAAAACTCCAGTACTCAGTCCAAAGATACATCTTAAATAGCTTGCAAACACTTCATACTAGTTTTCTATAATCCCAGAAAACCCTCTGGAATTGGATGAAAGAGGAGTGTAACTGTTGAAAATTTAGAACTATAAGCATTTCATTGACAGAGTAATGAAAGAAAATTCTGCTGAGCAAGTCTTAGAAATAAATAAGAAGATGCATATTGTAACTGAATTCTTATCTAGTGTTAGGTGCAATATCATGAACACACATTTCCTAATTACTAAAAGGTATGATTTTACAGTCGGTCCTCTTGTTGCTTACTCCATCTGAGAAAATTTGTAAGCAAAAATATAGTAATGTCATCACGTATAAGATAATTTTACTTACTAAGCCATTAAACCAAATACCTGTTGGACCTTGAAAAATAAGTCTGAGGACTACCAAAAACAAGTGTTCCAAGTTTCAAATTTGGGAATGTATCAGTGTAAGGTGTTTTTTGTCCTCCGGATCATAAATAAAACATTGTTTGATGAGATGTAAAAAAAAATTTTGAGTGAACCCTAACTGCAATATGATCCAACTTTCCAATAAATCCCTAACTTTGCAAGTAGGATTTGCTGTCTTATGCTTACTTTACAAGCCACAGCTTTCCATCTTTGAAGTTTTGGCATGCTGGTAGTTATCTTGGACATTTTTTTCTCCTAATTAATTTCTCTGTCCACAAGTAAATATCATTTGTGTACTGCTTGTCCTGACCTCGTTCCCCATGTGAGGTCAGCACTATGCGAGCAGGCTGGATGGCCAGATAGCAAAGCCACTGAAGCAGACCACATTCCCAAATATATTCAGCTCCTGGAGGAACAGTTCTAGAAGATGGCCATCCTACAGGAAAAGTTTTACTGATCCAGCCTCACAAAGCCCTGTGCTCCCATCTCAATTAATGGTTTAAAAATTATAAACAATTAAAAGTTATTTGGATTTATGTGTTCCAAACCCTTAAAAAAAAACAAATTTGTTCAAAAGGAGATATAAGTAAAAGGTTGAGTAAAGTATAAGAACTTTACTCAGTGTTGGTAAAAATGTAAACTGATTTATGATACAGAGATATTTTCATACATACATACTCATATATATGACTTTTGACTCAACAATCCCACTTCTAGTGATTTACTCTAAGAAAACACAAAAATTTAAAAAGCTATCGCCACAAGAACATTCATTAAAGCATTATTTATAGCAGCAAAGAATTGGAACAAGTTAAATATCAATAGGGAAGCTGGTTAAGTGTACACACAGGCACAATGGGTTATTATGCAGGCTTTAAAAATGATGCAGATCTAGGGGCGCCTGGGTGGCTCAGTCGTTGGGCATGTGTCTTCGGCTCAGGTCATGATCCCAGGGTCCTGGGATCGAGCCCCGCATCCTGCTCCCTGCTCTGCGGGAAGCCTGCTTCTCCCTCACCCACTCCCCCTGCTTGCGTTCCTTCTCTCGCTTTGTCTCTCTCTGACAAATAAATAAAATCTTTTAAAAAAAATGATAATGCAGATCTATACTAATATGGAAGTCAATAATATATGCTGTGAAAAGAGACGGAATAGTATCATACCAATAATATAAATTAAAACATGTTTAAGTGTGCAGAGAATATATATAAATATATATGTACACACAGAGAGAGAAAGAAATGTAAAAGTATGAACTACCAACTGTTAATAGTGATTTTTTTCCCTCAAGTTTGCATTTAAATTCTAGTTAGTTAACATATAGGGTAAAACTGGTTTCAGGTGTAGAATTTGGTGATTCATCACTTACACATAACACCCAGTGCTCATCAAAACAAATGCCCTCCTTAATACCCAGCGCCAATTTAGCCCATCCTCCACCAAGCTCCCTCCATCAATGCTCAGTTTGTTCTCTACCGCTAAGTGTCTCTTATGGTTTGATAACCTCTCTCTCTCTTTTTTTCCTTCCCATATGTTCATTTGTTTTGTTTCTTAAATTCCATGTATGAGTGAAATCATATGGTATTTGTCTTTCTCTAACTGACTTATTTCACTTAGCATAATACACCCTAGCTCCATCCACATTGTTGCAAATGCCAAGATTTCATTCTTTTTGATGGCTGGGTAATATTCCCCTGTATGTGTATACGTGTGTGTGTGTGTGTGTGTGTGTATACCACCTCTTCTTTACCCACTCATTAATTGATAGACACCTGGGCTCTTTCCATAGTTTGGCTATTGTTGATAATGCTGCTATAAACATTGGAGTGGTTGTGTCCCTTCTAATCTGTATTTTTGTATCTTTGGGTAAATAGCTAGTAGTGCAATTGCTGGGTCATAGGGTAGTTCTATTTTTAACTTGTTGAGGACCCTCCATACTGTTTTCTGGAGTGGCTGCACCAGTTTGCATTCCCACTAACAGTGTAGGAAGGTTCCCCTTTCTCCACATCCTCACCAACACCTGTTGTTTGCTGTGTTGTTAATTTTAGCCATTTTGACAGGTGCAAGGTAGTATCTCATTGTGGTTTTGATTTGTAATTCCCTGATGATGAGTGATGTTGAGCATCTTTTGGTGTGTCTGTTAGCCATCTGTATAACAGTGATTATCTTTAGATGGTGAGAGTTTTGGTCATTTTTTTTTTTTACAGTGAGCATGGATTTTTTTTCCCCAAGAACAAAAAATCTGTTTAATATTATAAAATTACTACAAAGGAAGTATAATAAGACTTCTCATATTAATTGAAATGTTTTTAGC